TTTTTGGACTGTCCATTTTCAAGATTTTCAAATTTTCATAGATATGTCGATTTACACTACTTTTGAAGTTTTAAACTTTACGAATAGAGATTGAAGTTTTAAACTTTATGAATAAAGATGAAGTTTTAAACTTTATGAATAAATATGAAAATATATTTGAAGACGGTAACAATGATTTTCAATATTGAAACGGCATTTCTCAATACTATTTAAAGGTAGGCTCCAATTTGATTGTTTACCGCCTAGGCTCTATACAAACGGGCGGCCAACATTTAAATAGGACTATTAATGTGCCTCTAGAAAAATGATGCGGTTACTATGGGGTTGAAGCCCTAAACAATCAAAGTAGGGTTCACCTTAAAATAGTACTGAAATATGTTGTTTATGTATCAGAAATCTTTGTGGTAGCCTGAAAATTTATTTTCATCTTTAATTATAAAATTTAAAACTTCAGAAATAACGTATATCGAGCCTATCTATGAACACTGTAAAATCTTGAGAATTGATGGTCCAAAAATACATTGCAAGTTGCACTATTTCCAAAACTTGAAATTCATATCATGTCTATGCATCTTGAGGTCGTGATGATCAATTTGAGGATTTTTGGCCATCGAAGAAACTTCTTCTAGTGAAAATTTTGAGATGCGTCTTAATTTTATTATTTAGAGTCTCGCACTTATGTAAACTTTTTCCCTAGAAAAATAGTGCCCCAAGGTTTGAACAAGAAGCATCCAGTTTTTTTAGGCAGTTTTTGAAGGCCAAGATCTAGGTTTTCAAGAAGTTAAAATATTTTCTTTTTATCCTTGGAAATAATCATTTGGTGAGTTAAAATCTTTTTTTTTTTTCTAGGAAATAATCATTTGGTGATGCCTGGATGGATCCCAAAATTTCAGATAAAAAAAAAAAAGTCTCCTAAGTTATTGTTTTACTGGAGGGAGTTGTTGTGCAATATATCCTCCCAAGGGAGGATGCTATATACATTAATTTATTTTACATATATTGCTCTAGTTAAGGGCAGGGATATTTGACATTCAATTGGAATATATGACATTCAATTGCTAAGTGTGAGGATACATGAAATTGAACTAGGTAGAACCATGTAGGAAGAGAAATTTTAGAGGACCTATTGAGTTATTGAGTGGAACCCTACAAAATAAGAAACTCAATCTCTTAATTCAAATCAATCTCTACCTTTTTTTATAAATGGATACTTTATTGGGAATTTAATTCACAATTAAATAGAAAAGGGTTCATATCTTGAACTTTGCCCTTTAAAAAAAAAAACAGAGGTAAATATCATATAGAAAAAGTTTCATAAGGTTGCAACCTTATATTGTAGAAATATGCTACATCTCAAAAAACTAGTAGAAAAGAGTGTTCCAAACTTAAAAAAACTTCTAATTGATCATCTTGATGTCGAGATGTACATATATAAAATATATATATATATTCGAAATTCAAAAAATAGTATACCTTGTCACAAATTATCTTGACCGTCTATTTTTCAAGATTTACAAATGTTTATAGATATGCTCGATTTGAATTCATTTTTTAAATTTTCAGTTTTATAATTAGGGCGGAATACAATTTTTTCAAGCCATCGTAACGTTTTTGCTAATAAAACTAGATCTCAAATAAAATTTAGAAGTGCGCCTTGTATTAACACAAATTTTCCCCAATATCACATTTATGTTTGGTAGGAAGGAAGGGATTTATCCCTCCCATCATATTTTTATTTTTATTTTCATTTTTTTTTGAATATTTAGTTGAATATGAATAATCAATTCTAACAACACACGACAAAATAATGAGTGAACGAAACAAAAGAGCTTTTCATTCTACTGGGGAATATTATTGGACTCTTCATTTTAGGTCACATCGGAGAAACATCCTTAATCGCCACTAAAATACTATGATTATTTAGAAAAGGTTCGACTCGTTTTTAGCCGTTGGTGATATTTAGGTGGAAAAAGTTTATATAGAGCCGAGGCTCTAAACAATCAAATTAGAGCCCACCACAAAATTTTTATTAGAGGAGGTTGTTTTGATGCCCAAATATCCTCAAATTGATCATCTCTACATCAAGATGCATAGACATGAGAAAAAAATAGATTTTAAAATTTGAAAAGAATGCATTTTTAGATCGTCAATTTTCAAGATTTTCGAGTTTTCCTAGATCTGCTCAACCTACACTATTTTTGAAGCTTTAAATTTTATAATTAGAGATAATAATATATTTCAAGGCTATCACAAGGACTTCCAGTATTGAAACCACATTTCTCGATACTATTTCAAGGCACGCGTTACTTTGAAGGTGCGCTTTACTTTGATGGGTTAGAGCCTCGACTATCCAAACCGCACCCTTGTTAGAAACGTCTCCCTCTAAATGGAGCTTGAGATTCATACAGTTTCGGTAAGGCCTAGGCTTTATGAAAATAAAGTAAAGCCTCTCCTCGAAATGCTCATCTAAAAAGCATTTTGGTCATAAAAAAATCTCCATAACCCTATAAAATTAATTCAAATACTTATTATGAAATTTGAAGTTGAAAAATGGTATTGATCTTGTAGATAAACACTTAATTTTAACAGAAATAATTGAATTTCCAGTTATATTTAAAATCTCGAATTTGTAGATAGAGGTAGATTTGTCTATAGGCTGCTTAGAGGTAGAAATTGAGAACAAAATTTACCCTCTATTTTTTTATTTTTTATTTTTTGCCTTTAATAGGCCTATTTTTTCCATCAATTGCAATGACTTTTTTATTAGAAAGAAACAAGATTGTCTAGAGACCAAATCTCATCCATTTAGTTCAATAATTAAATTCTAATATGTATAAGATTATTAGAAAAAAACAAGGTTGTCTAGAGACTAAATCTGATCCATTTATTTCAATAATTAAATTGTAATACGTATAAGACAGCTATTTAGTTTAGTAGAAGGGAAGGACACCATAGCTCTGGACACAAATAACATATCTGGTACATAAAAATCATATCAAAATCATAAAAATAGATAATACATGCATTTATCTATAAAAATCATAAAAATAGATGATACATGGATAAATGCATGTGTACGCCGATATAGATATAGCTGTTTGAAATTGGACGGAATTTTTCAATTTAATCTAAATATATCACTATAGATTAGATTAGAAGTAGATATACTTATAATACATATATAAAGATTATCTAGGAATTCAAAGGTATTAATTGTAAAAAATATCGAAAACTTAAAAAAAATTCATAAAAAACTCAAAATTTGTACACTCTTATATATATTCCTCCTAATATATATCTATTTAATTGTGCAAAGATGGAAGTTGTGCATATCTTCTACTTGACATTATTAGTAAATAACACCGCAAGTTAAATGAAAAGAGATAAACATAAAATTGTGAGGAGATGTTATGCATGAACCAACCCAAAAAAATACACCTAAAAATAGCAAAATCTTATAAGGCAAAAGGCCAACCGTAGAAAACCGCTCCACGTAGCATAAATTTTATAAGACTAAAAAACGGTGACACAAAACCACCGTCAAATTAAGAACCCTTATTTTTACTCAATAAATAATTTACCTATAGTTATGGGATTGTCTACAAAGATACCATTTATTTTTTGTACAAAGAGATTATAATCATTTTTGTCCCTTAAATTTCGTAATGAGTGTTTCAAAAAAAAAATCTTCAATTTTGTGACTCACTCAAAGCCATCCAATTTAACATTTAATTATTGAGAATAATTGTGAGCTCTATGTATAAAAGATAAATGGTCTATTTGTAGACAATCTGGCTGCCTACTAAAAAAATAAAATATATTATATAAGATTACAACCTTAAAATATAGAATTATATATGCACCTCAAAAATCTATTGGAAAATATTGTTTTAATGTTGAAAAACCTTCTAATTGATAATCTCGACATCGAGATGTATATAAAAAAAAAAAAAGGGTTTTTGAGTCCTAGAAATAATGTATCTTGCAACATATTTTTTGAGCCGTCTATTTTTAAGATTTTTATATGTTTATAAATCTACTTGATTTTAACCATTTTTAGAGTTAAAAAGTTTATAATTAGATATGAAAATAATTTTTAAGATAATCCTAAGATTTTTTAATATTAAAAGTAAATATTATGATAAATTTTGGAGGTGCACCTTAATTGAATTGTATAAGTTTGCAACCTTGTAGAAATAACATCCTATAAAAAAAAAAATTACTTATGATTAAGGCTAGTAACGGGGCACACGGCTTGGCCTTGCCGGGTCGGCTCGACCGTAAAATAGTAGGCCTTGGACCACAAAATGTAGTTCGAGTGTCAAACCAGGCCGCCGGTTCTGACTAGAGAAGCCCTCATTTTCTCTAATTTTTTCCACATGTGGGCTCGAACTGGCTCGGCCTACTCTTTGGCGTACATTGGACGGGGCTACGGTCAAAGCTGACTCAGACGCAGCGCCTTCCCTGTGATCATGAGCACTGAGGACCACTTAGTCATTGACGAATATGAAGTAAGTAATACGTTTAGGGGCATTTTTATATAAATATATACCCCGTAAAATTCTCCGAAGTAACGCAAGGCAGCACGTCAGGCTCAAGACCTCCAGTTTGCGGGACGCCACACACGTGCCAAAAGGGGCGTCGCGAAACGGTTTCGCACGAGTGGGTCCGCCCACCGTAAACTTTGACGCCCACGCGTCAAGAAAGCGCGTCGAGGCGTCGATGGGAGTGTCAAAAACGGGGATAAGGTTTAAGGAGAGAGAGGGGCAGGGGTTACTGCAGCAACGACGGCGATTAGGCCACGCGGCAACTCGACGCGGCCCCCTAAACTTAGGAATTTCCCCCAAAAAGCCCCTGAGGATTAGAACGCCGTAACGTTCACCACGAGGTCCTGAAAGTAATTTTCCCTCTACAGGCCCCTAATAAAGGTCACGCCCTTTTATCGTTTTTTTTTAATTTTAAAAAATTAGGGCCTTTTTTTCCTATATAAATCGACCCCGCTTCTCGTGCAATTCTCGCCCGCTTCTCTGCTCGTGGTTGCGCCCCCCCCCTCTCCCTAGATCTCTCGATCTTCCGTTTCAGAGCTAGCCGTTTGATCGTTAGGGTTCCGGTCTTCTTATCCTCTCGTCCTCTTTGCCGCTGTTAAAACTAGTATAAAGAAACCCTCGGCTTTTTTCGTCTGATATCATTCGGCCTCTCTGATCTGTATTTTCGTGGGTGCTTTCGCTTCATCCCTAGGGTTTTGTCGAAGCTTTTAATCGTACTGTTTTGGTTTCTCCTGTTCTTCTGGTTAGGGTTCTTACGCAGAGGCTTCGTTCTTTGCTATCTTTTTGATCCATTGCTTTTCTTTCTGTCTCTAAATCGCAGGGGACCTTCTCTTACCTCTTTTTCCGTCTCGATTTTCAGATCCGTATCTCTCTTTCTCTCTCTTCAAGCCAACCCTGCATAGACCTCTCAAGAGCAGAACAAAAGCTGTCGCCCTCCTTTTCCTCCATTAAAAGAGCTTCATCTTGTGCTTCTTCTTCTCCTGAGGTGAGGTGGGGATTAAGTTGCTCCTCAAGCTTCGGGGGTTAGGCTTTTCCTTTTCTTAGAACCTTACTGCTTCTTTTGGGGGGGTAGCCGGGGCCTCGGCCTCGGCTTTTGGCAAAGCCCCCGCCCTCACAACCTCTCTTCTGGACCCTTTCTAACAAAACCGGGAAGAGATGCCTGCCCTAGCATGTTTCGACCAAGCCATTGCAGCTCTCCCCCCTGCTTTTGCTTTCTCTTTAGCTGGGGAAAGCTCTCTTCCCGGCTTGTCACCGTTGCTGGAGAATGGATTTTCAGGCCAAGATTTGCCTGAAAAAGACTTCTCCGATGAGGTGACAAACCCTAACATTGGCGGGCTCTGGTCTCCGGAGCTGTCTGCCTCTCTGTACAGGATCAACGGCTGGGGCGCTCCTTACTTTTCCATCAACGGCTCCGGCAACCTCTCTGTAAGGCCACATGGCCTCGAGACCCTCCTTTTTGAGGAGATCGATTTGATGAAGGTCGTGAAGAAAGCGGTTGACTCTAGATCTAATGGCGGACTCGGCCTGCAACTCCCGCTTATCGTGCGCTTGCCTGACGTGTTGAAGCACAGGATCGATTCGCTGCAGTCGGCCTTTGACTCGGCGATTCGATCACAGTCATACGACTCGCATTACCAGGGCGTTTACCCGGTCAAATGTAACCAGGATCGCTCCATCGTGGAAGACATCGTCGCGTTTGGTAGGTCCCATCGTTTTGGGCTCGAGGCCGGGTCAAAACCCGAGCTTCTCCTCGCCATGAGCGCGCTCTGTAAAGGTAGCCCTGAATCCTACCTCATATGCAACGGCTACAAAGACGAAGAGTACATCTCTCTTGCCTTAATGGCGAGGAAGATGGGGCTTGATACTGTCATCGTTTTGGAGCAAGAAGAGGAGGTCGATCTGGTCATTGAAATCAGCAAAAAGCTTTCTGTGAGGCCAGTGATTGGAATCAGAGCAAAGCTCAGGACGAAGCATTCTGGCCATTTCGGCTCGACCTCTGGTGAAAAAGGCAAGTTCGGTTTAACAACTCTGGAAATTCTTGGTGTGGTCCGAAAGCTCAGAGGGGTGGCCATGCTCGATTGCCTGCAACTCTTGCACTTCCACATTGGCTCTCAGATCCCATCAGTTTCTCTACTAGGCGATGGTGTCGGTGAGGCGGCCCAGATATACTGTGAGCTCGTGCGCCTTGGTGCCGGAATGCGAGTGATCGATATCGGTGGTGGCCTTGGCGTCGACTACGATGGCTCAAAATCCTCTGCATCGGATATGTCGATTGGTTACACTCTTGAGGAATATGCAGCCACCGTGGTCCAAGCCGTGCGCTATGTGTGCGATCAAAAGTTTGTTAAGCACCCAGTTATCTGCAGCGAGAGTGGCCGTGCGCTTGTGTCGCATCACTCGGTGCTTGTGTTTGAGGCTACTGCTGCAAGGGAAGTTGCCACACCGGGCCTAGATCTTTCTTATTTGACATTGGGGCTCAGCGACGACGCTCGAACTGAATATGGCAATTTGATGGGTGCGGCGATGAAGGGTGAGTATGAGCTGTGTTTGGTGCACGCGGAGCAGCTGAAGCAGCGCTGTGTGGAGGAGTTCAAGCTCGGGTCGTTCGCGCTCGAGCAGCTTGCTGCTGTGGACATGCTCTGCGACCTGCTCTCGCACGCCAGCCAACAGGCTGATAGCGTTCGCACCTACCATGTCAACCTCTCCGTCTTCTCCTCCATTCCTGACTTCTGGGCCATTGAGCAGCTGTTTCCGATCATGCCCATCCATCGCCTGGATCAAAGGCCGAGCATCAATGCCATTTTGTCCGATCTCACCTGCGATAGCGATGGTAAGGTGACCAAATTCATTGGCGGAGCGACGAGCTTGCCACTGCACGAGTCGCGACCGGGTGAGCCCTACTATTTGGGCATGTTCCTGGGTGGCGCCTACCAGGAGGCGCTGGGTGGGCTCCACAACCTGCTTGGGAGCGCCAGCGTGGTGCGTGTGGTCGGGAGCGATGGCGGAGGGCAGGCATTTGCAGTGACCGGGGCGGTTCCCGGGCAGTCGTGTGCTGATGTGCTGCGGGCAATGCGGCATGAGCCGGACTCGATGTTTGAGGCGCTCAAGTGCAGGGCCGAGGACTGCTTCATGGGGGAGTCGGTGGCGCGCACTCTGGCGTGGTCCTTCAACGCGATGCCTTACCTTCGGCACGGCGCCACCACGGCGGCTGGCGATGAGCACGAGTGGGGGGGCTACGACTATTACTAGACTTGGCCACTGAGTTACGAAATAAGTGATTTGGGAACCGTCGCCCGTTGCTTCTCGTTTTGCCGTTGCCCTTGATGGGCTTAGTATTGGAGCGAGAGCTTGTGTTTTTAGGGCTGCTACCCCCAGTCCTGTCTTTTTATTTTTTATTTTTTTGTATTTGATTTTAGTTGCGTCTTTCCCTTTTTTCGTTGACGTTGGTCGCCGTGATGTAATAAGCGTCTGTGGACTAACGTTATTCGTGGGAAAAGAAAGGAAAAAAGCTCGCTCTTAATTTTCAATAATTCCTTTGTTTTTAGAATCAATCACCAGCGGGAACAAAACCTTCAGATACTTCATGTTTTTTTGCGGTATTTTTTAACTTGGTGAGTGGGCCCTAGGCGAGGGGTATTTTTGGGGGTTGGACGGTGACGTAATGGGGTTTTTGAAAAAGTTTGAGAGAGAGAGAGAGGTGTAGATTCTCTCTCGAGACGCGTCTTACTTTTCCACGTGTGCGGATTCTGGTTTTGTTCTCTTCCACAATAATAATCGGCAGCTTTAGAGTTGTGGTCCTTGGGATAGGGTGGGCCGTGGGCCACAGGGTCTTTGTTAAAAATAAAAATAAAAAAAAGGAGCGAGGCTTCTTTCCCCTTTAGTAGTCATCTGAGGTAGAGAGAAGCGGGGCGGGCGGTATTTTTCAACGGAGAGGGACCGACCTACTCTAAACCTCTGAGAGGAGAGAGGGTCAGTCCGATCTCTCTCTAAATCTCATAGAGGAAATGATGGAGAGAGGGCCAGTAGTCCGCTGTTGTGTGGTTGTGGGGAGAGAGAGGCAATGAAGGTCAGTGGTCCAACCGCTCACATGACCTTAGGGTCCTTTTTAAAGGCCACCATACATTGAGGCATGTCCTCACGTGATGATCATGTGGATCACCATGGGTCGTCTGATTTTTATGTGAGAAAGCTAAGAAATAGGATGTAATGGGAATTTTCTTGTTCCTCTGCATCTAAAGTTTCTCACGAGTTCTCAAAGGGTTCGTCGGTTTCATGCTAAGAACCACCAGGGATTAATACTAACAAAAAGGTTATGGTGGTACTCCGGGGGATATATAAATATGCAATACTCCTATTCCGGTGGTACTCCGGGGTATATATAAATATGCAATACTCCTATTCTGGTGGTACTCCGGGGGATATATAAATATGCAATACTCCTATTTTGGTGGTACTCCGGGGGGATATATAAATATGCAATACTCCTACACCTATATTAAAAGCAAAAGTATATAGGGTAAGTTTTTTATGTTTCTTCTACAGCATAAAACTTATATTCTTCTTTTTAACCAATCTTCCATTTTGAATGGAGGGTTAAGATTGTATCAATCACAATGTCATCGTCTCTACACTATTTTATTTTTAATTTTTTCCTATAAACTTTTAATCTTCTATTTATACTCATACTAGTGAAAAATATGTAAAAAATATTTTCAATAAAACAAAATAACGAAAATATTCTTGAAAATTTCAAAGGGTATTGTAGTTATTATATTTTATCGAAAAATTATTTTTAATATTTTTTTTATAGGTGCACCACAAGGAGAAGATGGCACATACCAAATTTTCATATTCATAAAATCTGTATTTAAAAGAACTAAAAATAAAACACTGAGACGTTGGATTTAAGATCAAATGGTGAGTAGTTCTCTTGATCAAAATTTCTTGATCAAAATCGGATGGCTGGTTGGTAGGGGAAGCATATATCTTCTATGCTGTAGGGAAAATATAGAAACCTTTTCCAAGTATATAATGAGACTATTTATCTTTGGTACAAAGTGGTCACAATTTATTTTGATCATTTGATGTGAAATTGGATGGATTAATTAATTCCATTGTCCAAGCTCAAATTTCAAAAGAAATTTTTTTGAACTTTGCGTCACACCCAAATTATCAAATTTCACATTAGATGGTTGTAAATAATTGTGATATCCTTATAGCATTATAATGAGTCTATTAAAATATTTGATACGTAACAAATTATTATTATTATTTTTTGTAATTTCAATTTTCAATTTTGCATAACAAAATATGTGATGCTCCTTGGAATTTAGAAACGAACATGAAGGGTATGGACAATGGGTGGTGTAATTTGGCATTCGGTCAAATTTGGCGGAGACGAAAATAGCAGTGTCACTTTTGTTTTTATATGAAGTTTTCTAGACTAGAGGCACTACAAAGTCCTAAAATAAAACAGGGAAAAAAGAAAATTGGGAGTGTTGTGAGGTAGTGTTGAATGGCAGGAAAAATTGAAATCGCCTCGCCTTTATTTTTTGTCGATTTTCATGTCGCCTTGTCTAAATTCAAAGAACAAATTTCGCAAGCAAATCACAAAAAGGGATTTCCTTTTAGTCAAGTTGCCAAAACCTAATCAACCGAACATGCCACCTTTTGTCTGCCAATAAAATCCAACATAAAGATAGGCATTATGGAATGCTGCTAGGACGAGAAGCAATGGAAGTTAGGTTTGGCAATGGGCCGGGTGCCCTAAAAAAGAAGCACTTGGGGCATATGGTGTTGGCCCAATTGAGCCTCGACCAGCCTTTTTTTTTTCATAGTTTTTCTTTTATTTATTTTTTTACTTTTTAGCCTGCCAGCCCTAGTGGACCCATGGGATAAGGAACAGGCCCATTGCAACCTGTTTGAGAAGCAACTAGTGGGCCCAATTGCCACCCTTAATCAAGGCAACTAGTGGTAATATACCGAACTTAATTCACTCCCTCTCGTCAAATGCTAACGTGAACATCATCACTGATGATGCCACATAGGCCCACCAATTTTTTTTTTCGATGGTTAGGTAATCTCCTCTGACTTTTTGAAAATCTTCCTGGGAGGTTTGGTTAGGACCCAGGTTCCAAATGGGTTCCCTTAAATGCAGGTCTAAAGGAAGACGTGTGGCTCCACCCCTTTCGTTTACAAATTTAATTTTGATGATAACTCGATACGGAACCCGGGTCTAGCTGGTTTTAGAGGCGTGCTTCGGGATTGGATGGGGAATGTTATCTTTACGTATGTAAGGTGACTTGAGATGTGTACCGTTAATTTTGCATAACTGTTTCTATGACCTGTGTATCTTTGAAGGGGATTTGGAGTACTCTTGCATCATTGAAAGGGATTCACTCAATGTCATTAAGTGGTGTAAAGGGGATTAGAAGTTGTTTTGAAAGTTCAAATATTTACTGTTTCAGATTTTGGATCTCTCATTCTTTTTTTTTTGGTTTCTTTTGATCATGTTTTTTTTTTGTTTCTTTTTATCATGTTTATAAGGAGGCCAATAAACAGGCTGACTTTCTTACTAAATGAGGCTCCTACCTTTCCGATACTACTGTTTTTTATTATGTAATTTCATTCTAGCTTAATACAATTTTGGATTTTCTATAATAATAAAAAAAAGGTTTTAAAAAAATAGCCTTTCCAGATTAGGCAGAAGCCTAGGCCCAGCCCCTGCCACCATTAATGGAAGCAACTCGTGGTGATATACCCTTAAATGAAGGCCCCCACTTGTCAAATGCTAACGTGGACATCATCATCTGTTTTATGCCACGTAGGCCCACCTAATTTCTTTTGATGGTTTGCTAATTTCTTGTATTTGAAAATCTTCGTCGGAGGTTTGGTTGGGACTATTTTTTTGTGCTTTTTTCCTAGATTTTGTTCTAGTGGTGTGGTGGACTCTCGGCTTACAGCTGTATATTTGGGTAGGCAACTTCGACCTTTGAATCTTTTGGCGTAAGAAGTAATGTGAGCCCCGTGAATTTATAGTCCTGTAATCCTTAGGCTGGCAATGGTCCGGCTCGGCCTCGGACCAGCCCTGTAGGGCTTGGGCTGGGTTCGGGCCAGAGCTGACCTGGCATAGGTTTGCCCCTAGGGATTAGGTGCCTATTGGATGCACTTGTAGCTTAGCTCGTGCTTCCACCGTTCCATCGGGTCTGAGGATCCAAAATTTCATGGGACTATCATTATATAGTCACACGGTAGTATACTTCATGCAGTATAGAGAAGTTATACTGCTGCACATAATCTCAACTGTATGGTTGAGAATTGACAAGAGCCATTCTTCCTCATAGTACAACATTACATGTTGTTTTTTTTTTTTAGGTAATTTAGTGGGGATGACGAGCCTTTACTTGTTTTTTAAATAGTGAGTGGTTTTTTAGTGCGTTAGAAGAGAATGAAAGCCTAGATCTTGGCTAGGGCAAAAATGATGCTACCATGAGTCATCTCAATTGTAGTTGTCGGGAGTCTTGAGGCTACATGGACTGTGTTGCCCGTATGCTACATTAGTGTACTTTACTATCTCAAAAAAAAACTAAAAAATAAAATAAGGAAAATTTGCTTTGTAAAGCAGATGGAGAATCTGTTATACATCTATTTATCCAATGTTCCTTTGCCACAAGGATTTGGTATTGGTTGTTTGGGTTACTTGGGCTTAATGCTTTTTTACCCCAATCTGTGATGGGTATTGTATCACAGTTAGCCTTTCAACATCTACCATCCTTGGGAAGTGTGGTGTGGAAGATAGGGAGAGGGGCAGTTTTATGGGAAATCTAGAAGGAGAGAAATATGAGAACTTTTAAAGGAGAGTGCATACCTTTTGACAGATTGCTCACTAAAATCAAACTTTCCATTTGGTGTTAGTTTTCGGTTACAAAAGAACGTTGAGGGGTCACACAACCAGATGTTATGGCCAACTTGCATAACTTTTTTGTGATGGGAGGCTTCAAGATGAGATGGAGAAGTATTTGCGTTGCACCGAATCTAGGTGGACTCAAATTGAACTTTGATGGTAGCTCTTTGGGTAATCTAAGATTGACAGGTTTTGGTGGTATAATGTGCAATTGTTATGTGGATATTATTTCACATATGTAGGATCAGTTGGTATAATCACTGCAAATCATGTAGAATTGCTTACCTTGCTTCAAGGTTTGAAAGTTTGTGTCTTGCGAAACCTTGGCAATTGTTGTGTGATTGAAAGCGATTTCTTGAATGTTATAACATGGTTTAACAAGGAACAATGGGTTCCTTGGGAGCTCAGGTCTTGTTGGCTGCAGATTATGGATTTGGGTTAACAGTTATTTGTAGCTTTTCTTTATGTTTATAGAGAGGCTAACTTTTTGACAAACTATTTTGATAAAGGGTGTGCCTCTTTGCCCACTCTTTCTTTCTCTTATGATGTAATTTCTTTCATGTGAGACTTTTATAAATAAAGGAGACAATATTTGTCGAAAGAAAAAGAAAGATAAAAAAAACGTATACAATGAGACCATTTACCTTT